CAATCTCATACTATTAAGCTAGGCAGAAGTGAGTAGTCTTTGTCGATAGATCTCTATTTTAGTATTTTGTCGAAAGCGCTTTTTTTCACGAATTTATGTATTACGAATTTATTTGACGATTTTTGATTTATATCACGAATTATACTATAGCACATTTCCAATAGGTTTAACGAATTACATGTCATTTATTTGAATTCGAATTTATTTTAATGACTTAGTATTTACTAAAAAAGATGTAATTTTTTTTAAAAAAAAGTTTTTTATATGGATTTGAATGATTGTTTTGAATTCTTAGAATTTTGTGCATTTGCAATGTACTTAAGTAAGAAGCGAGCGAAGCGAGCTTGGTTTGCGAAGCAAACCATATAATATTGGGTAGCAATTTTCGGGGGTTGGCGAGCGTTTGCGAGCAGGGGGCGCAGCCCACTAGTTTAGCTTAATTCCTTGTGGTCTTTCTCTCAATTTATGCTTGGTGAAGGTTTAAAGGTATTTTTATGCAACATTCAAGAGATTGGAAGTTCCGAACAACTTTCTTCAGCATTGCAACGAGCAAAAAAAAGCAAATAACCTGAATAACTTTTTATTTCCCTAATTCTTGATAATGGACCTATCTATTGAGTTTCTTATGTAAGGTTCTCATAAGTTTAATTTTATCACAGTCACTTCAACATCAGATCGATCCGCCACGATCTGCTACGCAATTGACGCCCGCCTGAAAGACTTAGACACCTTTAATGTTTACTCTTCAATGTAAATATCTACTTTTAGCATTGAGAGGGGTCGAATGTAAGGTTCGTATAAGTTTAATTTTATCACAGTGCCGAAAAGTTTAACATTTACGTAATTCGCGATCACAACGAACTGTAGGGGGCGTTGTTGTATGAGACGAATACCTACCATTTCTATATGGACAATCATTCAGTTACTCTGGAGACGTCTTTAATGTAGCGTGTTGCATTGTAACGTTATTGTAACACAATAACGTTACAATGCGACACGCTACATTAAAGTCGCATGAAACACATTGTATAATTGTAAGATCTCGATATGAATTTGAATATGTAGCTTAAAAACAGAATAGCTGAATTCTAGTTGAAATTATTCTCTCAACGCTAAAAAATACTTACCAAGAAAACGATAAAAATTTATTAATAAACAACATAAAAGAAACTATTTCAAGTAGTTCGGATGATTCTTTATTGTTGTTTTCCGAATTATATAGATACAGAAATATGTACTATTCTATAAAGAAGAAGAATATTCTATAACTATTATACAGTTCTGTGTACGTTTTGAATTCACATTTACTCATTGGAATGACGAAAGCAATGTTGACTTCACTCTAGTTTGTAATGAATTGAAGACAGATTTTTTTTTTAACCGTAACATACACATCTGTAACAGCAAGTGATGAAGTCGGAAGTTATGTTGTTGCTAATAGAAAGGTAAAAATTTTTGAGAAATTGTTCTTCAAATTCTTAGCGTGTTCTGCTTCATTGTTTGGTATGTTCTGGTTAGTTTTTTCAAGTTTTTCTACCTTTACCTTAGGGAAATTTTGCTTCTCATTTACTGCTAAGGAAATGGCGTCCGTCATTGCCAAAGGTTATGATGGAACTAATACCCGATATTTTCAGGCTCCCGCTAGAGGGCGTACTCGAGCATTGAGATCGCGAATTACAGATTAGATTCAGAAATAGAACGGTTCACTTTAAAATATTAGTTGCTGTTTATTATTTTGTTCATTAAAATATTTTTTTAAATATCTTCACGCTTTTTAATTATATTTCATTTAAACTAAATTCCTTGTCTTTCAACCTTACCTTATACTCAAGTCTGAATTTTAAAGCGCATCTAGTTTGCTTGATGTGGCCAAAGTCGCCAAAACGGGAAACCAAAACGGGAGAGAATGTTAGCGATTTTGCAACAAAAGGGATTAGAAACGGTTTCTGCCAGGATTAGTGTTGTATTTGGATCTAGTGACTTTAGCAAGAGCGGAATCAACTGTAAAAGGGTTAAATTCAAGTTTAGCAGAAAAGCGACCAGAGGAAGGTAAGTTCGGAGGTCAGAGAAGAAGAATCAGAGCAGAAGAATCAGAGCAGAGGTTAAGTGTGCGGAAAATGAAAGTGTGAAATAAAGAAATTTTTTGACAATTAGGGTGATTAGAATCAGCATAAAGGAGCTAAGAGATCAGCAAAGAGATGTTAATAACAATTATATCAAACGTATACGTGACAAGAGTAAATCATTAATAATGGGTCAAATTTGCAAAACTCAAAAGACGAAATCTAAAAACAAAACAAAAATGTTCTACCGGAAAAAATCCAGAAATGGTGTTTTAAAATAGGATGATACCAAAACGTATTAAATAAGTAAGTTGAATTGTTATAAACTTGTTCCACGGTTTATATAGACCAAAATAAGAAAATATGAAAACGCGAAAAAGTATTTACTCTCATTAGATCAGATAACGAACTTAAAAATTGTATTAAAAAATATTTTTTATTATTAACATCCATGCTCACAGCTATTAAATGGTTTTTGCTTTCTCATTGTCCTTTTCGCATTTACATACGCTTAAACTTTCAATGCAAGCTTAGCGCAGTGTAACCACACCCGAGTTTATTTAGTATCGCATAAATACTGTTTAATGAAAAATAAATTTTGGATTTCAACTTTCTAACTAAGTAATGAATTGATACGATTTAAAAAAGTAATTTCTGGTAGTGTGTTGAATTTGGCAGATATACGGAGAAAAAAAAAATCTGAAATATTACCGTACTATACACAATAAAAAATAACTGTAAATCCTACAATAGAAACAACATATTTTTTACTTGAAATAGTTTAAAGATAAATACAGATTTCTCTAATTTATAGTTATCTGTGCTCTGCAAAAAACTTCCGCTTTTTTTTTCGTAAAAACAGACTTTCTCAGTATATATGACGGTTTAAATCTATTT